ATATATGTATATATCAGTTTCAAAGTTCAGCACTGTTGAATTTCTGCTACTTACAGTAAATATGTTGCCGTGCTTCAGCTTCATTCGGTTTATAAATTTGGGGACGTCTTTTCCAAATTCCAGTGCATGACCTAACCATGGGATTAATCCTTGATCCAGAGGCGGTTCGTTCTTCGACCTAAAATAAAAACAAAAAGAGAGGAAGTGATTTAGTGCTGCTTTACCAATAAAACTGGGAATGCTGTAAAACTTGACGCAAACTTCAGATTTCCTGTCTGTGTTCAGTCTTTGTGCACAGAATATTCAGTTTATTTTTACCCAAGGGTTACTTGTTGTTTAAACAAAAATGCAACACCTGAGCTTTTAAGAAATTATTCATGAATAAGAAATAATTATCAAACTGATTGGTGAGAAATAGCTGTTGATTCTGAATTTACATGAAATCCTTTTTTAATATAAACCTTTTGTTTCATCTAAAATGTTTTTAAAATAAATTATTTAATGACTCACCTCCATCGCCGTGTGAGAGTCAAATACAGCAGGACAAGCAGAGGAAAGATCCAGATCATGTTGTGCTCAGGCAGGTTTCTCTCTGTCTAAATGACCTCCTATCTAAGTCGTCTGCCTTCATAAGGAGTCTTGATTGCGCAACAAGTCTCTCTAGTCATCACACTCCTGCTCCTTTGTTATCATTAAACACCCTCTGTCATTTTAACTAATGACTAAAACAAGACCCACCCCCTGCATGTTTTTTTTAATAACTTAGAATTATTTTAACTCAGTAAGAAATTAAAGAAAACATCTAAATTTGTTCATTTTAAATCAATATTTGGAACTGAATTATCACAATAAACTCCTACACTGACCTGAGTAAATTGAGTTATAATCTGTAACCAAAGTCTCTGTCATTTCCTGCCAACTTATTTTCATAAACAAGTTGCGACAAGAAATGATGAATACATAGTTTTTTATGGAATATCCAGGGGAGAGGCTAAAAGTAAAGGAAGTTAAACTTTGCTGCAGTTGCTCACGTACAGAGAAATTGTGTCACCAAGTTACAAACAAAAACTTCCTTTGTGGCTTAAAATTACCTCAAAAGACCCAAAGGCTGTTTGTTCAGGTGAACGTGCTCAATATGGGTCAGGGAGTGAAACTGGAAAACTCTGGTGTCAGCTTTCATTGAAAATGTACGGAACTCAACAGGTGCCAGGAGTAGAAATGAAACAGAAGTGCTAATTTGTGCATTTTGATAGAAACTCCTGTTCGGTGAAAAGCAGGAGGAAGACTTTTATTTTTCATTTTCTAACCTAAAAATATTCTACAGATAAACCAGGGTTGTGTTTATGCTTGCAAAATCAGCTCCTCCAAAATACGGGACAGCTCCAGCGGGGGGCGGGGCTTAATGACACGTATGTCAATTGTGATGTCATCACACAAAATTTACTTATTAAAATTTATTTAAACAGCAAATCGTTCTCATCTCTATGTCTAATTGAAAACTCCCAATAGCATAAACTGCAAAACGTTTTCATCTTGTCACAGCCAGGTTTAACCCATAGATTCTTTTGTACTCATTTATTTTTGTAGTAGCAGAGTGCCCTTTTCTGTGTAGATTTCTCCTCATGCATTCATAAAACAAATAGTTCCTAGTTAATTGTGACTTCTGACAGGAAGAATCCTTCAGAGACTTCATCACGTATCTTTTTGGACGTGACTTCTTCATCTAGGTCAAAGGTAAGTAAGGAGAGGAGTGCCATCTAGTGTTTGTTAAAACAACTTGCAGGCTGCATATAAAATACGGGTAAAGCACCATCCAGTGACAAGATGTGGGACATCCTGGTGAATATGGGATAGTTGGCAACCCTAGCTACATTCGAAATGTCCACACACTCACCATTTCTGACATTTTGTAGTGCTGTTTAAAATTTGAAATATTTCATCGTTCCCCTATATGGTGCCAACTGGTTGCGAGATGCAGTAAAAGTGGTGTCAACATCAGTTGAAATTGACCATGATTCACCGTAACCACAGCAGACTAATTAGGCTTAATGCTAACTTCCACTTTGCATCAAGCAAAATGAGATATTCTGAGCTTAATTGGCTTTTTGGGAACCATTAATCACTAAATAAAAATTCTTAAAAACTTTAAAAACTGACTTGTTTTTACAATGACATTATTGTTTGAGGTGATTTAGATAAAAACAGGTGACACCAACAAATAAAACTGCCCATGTTGTTGTTTTATTTTTTTTGTTTGTTTCTGTGTCCAGACAGAAAATGCTAAACACACCAAAATCCATTGAATCAGTTCTCTAAACTAAGGCAGTTCATTTTTATAACCCGTTTTTATTCTGAACCCTTTGTACCAAATGGGTGGTAAAGATATTTGAGGGAAATAAGAACAGAAATAATCATTACTGAACAGAATGAATGAACCTTTATTAATAAAATGACCTGCAGCTCCCAAACAATAAACACAGCTAAGATGGTCAGGTTTATGAAGCAAACACAGAATATGATAAAATGTCAAAAGGAGTGAGAATCTTTCAGCTGCTGTTGAACATGACAGCTTCTTTCAGAAATTACAGACAAAAGGACTTTTTGGACCAGAGAGCAACAATCAAAAGCAAAAACTGGTCTGGTTGATTTTAATAACGTTAATCCTCTGCAGCCTCATTACGCACAGGATGAGATCTAAGAGAGTTCCTCATCTTTCTTCACATCCATCTGTGCGTCAGTTGTCCTTCTTGATTCATGAACGTCTTCAGGAGTTTGGCCAAACACGGCTGCGGTCCTCTTGAGGAGGTAGACTCCAGCATGTAAACCACCAACATTCACCCAAACAGTAAGCATCAGCCTCCATAGCCCTCCCATCCTCGAAATGGTCTGGAGGAGAAATAAATCCCATAAAGGAAATCAAACAAATTAAACAAGTTTAATAAGAAACCGGATCTTTGTTTAGGTAAACACAGGTTGGAAATCCCCCCCACCCCCAATGTGCGGGCAGAGTTTAACCTGATTAACTAACTGTTTAAAAATTCTTTAAAGTTTTCAGGAGAAGTTGATTCATTTTGACCTCTGACTGTTTACATAAGGAGGAGAGCTGCATAAATATAAGAGTTCAGTTAAACAAAACCACAAACAAATAGAAAAATAAACATAGTTAAAGCAATAGTGTAGATCTTTTGAGGTGAGGACTGTGGGAAATTATGAACAAGTAAAATCTTATATGTTGTAGACAGCAATTTGAAGAGCCTCAGTTTGGAAAAAACATGTTTTAAAGTAGATATATTATTTTAAATCCTTTTTCACATTTAAACTATTTAGTTGGGGTCTTTATAAAGTGGGACTGCAATGATTTGGTCTGAAAACTCCACAAGCTCCTCTCTTATCTCTTTTTTGAGGTGTGTCTCAGATCAACTCGTTTTGAGGCTGTCATTTTAAATCCAAACAAGGCGCTTTACATACCGCCCCCGCTCCAGCTTCCAGACTGGTCCATTCTAGTTTGACAGAGTGGTTTACAACTATATAGCGGCACAGAAATGTTATATTTACAAGTAAATTAAAATTTGCCAACAAGGGACGAATTGTCTTTCCAGCCTTACATGCTGGAGCCAGAGTCTGACCCAGAGCCAGAGGAGAATGAAGACAACTAGGGCTGCAACAACAAATCGATAAAAATCGATAAAAAATTTATTATTAAAAGCGTTGGCAATGAATTTCATTATTAATTCGTTGTGTCGCGCGATTTATGCGTCCCTCACCGTGCCGTGGAGCTGTTTACGTCACCCGCAGAGCATTGTCAATGCTGGCTGACCTAAATAAAGTTTAGAATAACAAAAGCTACCTGTAAAGATCCGCCCTCTCTGAGACTCAAGAGTGAAAAGTAGAAATTTTGAACTTTAAACCAGTTTTTAAATTGTGTTGTTAGGCCAAGTAGATCTGAAGTTATGATAAAAAGTATATGCCACATTTAATTTTTTTAAATGACGGACTGATTTGATGCGAGCTGCCTCGCGAGGAAGAAGCACTCCCGTGGGGGAGGGGCGGGGGGCTCAGTCCACCACTTGTTTCCTCCTCTCGAGAAGAAATATAAAAACCCTCCAGTCTTTTTTTCCGGGGGAGGCTCAGTTATTTGCTAAACAGCAAATAGGTTCAGGACAAAGGGGGGAAAAAGACTCAGTATGGGAAGAGGGAGGGATGGGATAGGGTGGGGATGGGGGGACTGCTTCAGAACCGCTGGGTTGTTTTAGCCACAGACAAGAAGGAAGAAAAACATTAAGAATTAGAGAAAAATCATAAAATTCTAAATGCAAATAAATAATAATTAATATTAGTTTTACATCTAAAAATCATATTTTATTCTTTTTTATCTGTTTTTCTCATTCATCAACCTATTAAATTTCTGTTATGTTATGTTTTATAGCTATAACCAAGTTTATTAATGTAAGAGAAATCCACCTTTTTTTTCCAGTCAGTGTTTAATACAGCTGGCAAAATCAATTGTGAAAATATTTATGATGTGCTTTTCTTTTTTTAATTTAGCATACTATTTAAAAAAAATCCTTCATGTCATGAAAAGACCCTCTTGATTCAATAGAAAACTCTGGTTTTTAAAAAACCATGGCACGGTGGCTCAGTTGGTAGAGCTGATGCCTCTCAGCAAGAAGGTCACCGGTTCAAATCCCGGTCCGGGGACCTTTCTGGGTAGAGTTTGCATGTTCTCTCCGTGCATGCGTGGGTTCTCTCCGGGTACTCCGGCTTCCTCCCACAGACCAAAAACATGACTGTTAGGTTGATTGATAACTCTAAATTGTCCCTAGGTGTGCGTGAGAGAGTGAATGCTTGTTTGTCTCGTTTGTCTCTATGTGTGGCCCTGTGATGGACTTGCGACCTGTCCAGGGTGTACCCTGCCCCTCGCACTGTGACTGCTGGAAATGGGCACCAGTGACCCACACAACCCTGAAAAGGAAGAAGCGTGTACAGAAAATGGATGGATGGATGGTTTTTAAAAAAATGTCTGCTTATCAATTAATCGTTAGTCAATCTATAAGATAAATCAACTTCAGACAACTTAATATTAATTGATAACTTGGATCCCTAATTTATACAGTAATTAAATTGATTTATATCTACTTACAGTTATGTAATTGTTTTAATGATTTGGCCGATTAATCAAAAAATAATCGACAGATTAATCTATTATTAAAACAATCGTTAGTTGCAGCCCTAAAGACAACAAAACTGTAGTTGGTAAGTCCAGACCTTATTTAAGTCTTTAAGGTCGTATTCACACCTGATAGTCCGGTAGACTCGGCTCGATTGGGGACCAAAACTGCAAGCTTTTGTTTACATTTTCTGTTGGTGCGGTTTGAATTCACACTGCACTTTCTCAACCGAACTAAACCCTGTGAACAACCTGTTCCTGCCCTCACCTGTGGGGGCGCTGCACAAAGAACCCCTAAAGGAATCAACATGAAAACCTCAGAAGAAGACATGGAGCGCAACTTCTTTCTTCACAAAATGTAAACAAACAATAGTAACGTTATATTTTAGTGTTTATAGAGTTTATTTTTTGTTTTTGGCAAATGTGCTAAACAAATAGTCCAACAATGAGCTCAGCGTGAGAGGAAGATGAGGCAGAACTACGGAGAACATTGTTTTGCACACAAGGCAGCAGAGGAAGCTCCGTGCTAATCGAGTCCAGCTCCACAGTCATGAAGTCCACCTTATACAGTCGTCCAGCGAGGTATTTACACCATATAAGAAAATTTAATACTGTTATTACTCACAATGTCATGGGGTATAGTCCGCTTTCTGCTTTTGGAGCAGTCTCTGGTCCGCTCAAGCCCAAGATATACTTTCGCTTTGGTCCGCAGGGCCGGAGCGCGCGCACTGAGCCATGCGGCTTCTGCGTTTACAGTTTCGCCGCTGTGTTTATAGTTGACGTGCGGCGGTGCATGGCAAAGTGCTGTTGTTCTTTTAGTTTTTATTAAAACTAAAAGTTTTTATTAGTACTGATCAAAAGAGTAATTCTAAGACATTTTTAGGTTTATTTTTTAGATAATAATAGAGTAAACTTACTTAATACATTACTAGAACATGCAATTCATTCTTCTGAGCCTTTCTACACACAGATTCATCTTTCTGCATCGCTTCAGCGATCTCCTTCCAAACATTCTGTGCCATTTGAACATCTTTTAATGCTCTCTCATAGAGGGATCATATAAATGCCTATACAGCCGAATGCGTTCTGCAAGAGCAGCTTCGAAAGCGTCCATCATCGTCAACGGCGCTCCCACTATGCGGAGTTTGAAAAAAATCGAGGTGCACGACACGCGCCAAAACTACGCGCAGGGGCAGGGACTGCAATATTGCGTCACTTTTGGTGCGCGAACCCTGGCGCCCTGCGTGACGCGTCGAGTGTGAATCTAGCTTTGGCGTTCACATATGCAATCGAACCGCACCAGAGTTCATTTCAATTGAACTGAGACCTAGGTTTTCAGGTGGACCAGAGTTCGCTTTTTTGGTCTGAATCAGAGTTCGATTACGCATTCACATGTCCCCAAACGAACCGAACTTTCCAGGCAAACGAACTAGAGTTCGATTAAATCGGACAAAACAGTGCAGGTGTGAACACGACCTAAGTTCCGTCACAAATACTGTGACGTAATAATTCATAAAAGTTCATAGAAAACAGAGAAAACTGAACAGGCTGAAAAATATAACCCAAATGATACATAATAAACAAACACAATATTAAGATAACTTTGCAGCACCAGAAGAAACTAAATTAAACTTTTTTGCACTTCTAGAGACTCCAAGCGCACGCGCGCGCGCACGCACGCACGCACNACACACACACACACACACACACACACACACACACACACACACACACACATGCACGCACACATTTAACAGCTAGAAATGCCTGATATGTCCCCTTTAAAACAAACCCAGTCTTAAAAAACATGCTAAGTAGCTCATATGAATCTTATTTTATGATTTTTTTTCATAAATTTCACATTTCGTGACACTGGCAGAAATACGATATTCTCCCTGGAAGCCTTCCCAGGTTTCACCAGGTGTTCCACAGTAGTGCTGGCCAGTATGACCAAAATTTTATATCACGGTATTTTTCTTTTCATCACAGGTCAGCGAATAAAAAAATGTACAAATACTGCTTATTAACTTTTCTCTTTTACTGTACCTCTGTCTGTGTCTCTGTTTCCTTCCTCTAAACATCTTTTCTTCTCCTCCTGGTTGGAGACAGTATTCATGCATTTTGGTCCGATCGTGAAGGAGGAGGGTTAAGAAAAGATTATTATCGGGTCTATTGTTTTATGTTATTTAATAAAGATTAACAGCACGACTCACCTTGCACACCAGTCAATTCAACTCCACTACAAAACTTCTTCCCACTGGCTTTTCACAATAGAAGCACGTTAAAGTCTCCATGCGTCTCCACATCTCCATATTAAAGTTGTGTATTATATCTAACTGTGCACGTCACTGAAGAGGTGTTTACTCCATTCAGTGATGGCAAAAATGGGATGTTTTTTTAACGTCAGTCAATATAAGCAGCGGAATCGCCACCCGCCACTGTGACAAACTGCTCAACAATAACATTAGCATGCCAACGCACACAGCGGTGTAGCAGGGAAAAGTGTCCCCTGGGAAACAGTTCACTGGCGGCCGCGATGAAATGTTCTGCTCGAGTTCAGGCTACTTAAACCGGTATTCAGAAAATTCATATCATAACAAAAATAAAAAAGGGTATTCGGTATGAACCAGTATACTGCCCAGCACTAATTCACAGCTGCCATTATTTGCACTTTCTGATATCTTAATAAGTACTTCACATTGTGTTTATATTCTGCTGT